AGAACCCCTGACCCTGGGGCCATAAAAATTCACAATTTGGAAGAAACATTCTTGCTCATCATAACTATATACTTAGTTAGTTTATTTAATACCCAGGAGCAGAGAAGAATATTTTCAAAGAATTAATGTATTTTCACTATATAATCAATAGACCCCCATTTTAAGACCAGAACCCCTGATCCTGGGGCCATAAATTCACAATTTATTTTGGAAGAGGCATTCTTGCTCATCATAACTATATACTTAGTTCATTCATTGAATACCCAGCAGCAGAGAAGAGGATTTTCAAACAATTTCTGCATTTTCTATATATAACCAATAGAGCCCCACCCTAACACCAGAACCCCTGACCCTGGGGCCATAAAATTCATAATTTCGGAAGAAGCATTCTTGTTCATCATAACTATATACTTAGTTAGTTTGTTGAATACCCGGCAGCAGAGAAGATTTTCAAACAAATTCTGCATTTTCTCTATATAATCAATAGAGCCCCGCCCTAACACTAGAATCCCTGACCCAGGGGCCATGAAATTCACAATTTTGCAATACGCATTCTTCCTCATCATAAATATGTACTTAGTTTATTTAATACCCAGTAGAAGAGAAGAAGATTTTTAAAGAAATAATTTATTTTCACTATATAATCAATATAGCCCCGCCCTAGCACTAGAACCCCTGACCCTGGGGTCATAAAATTCACAATTTTGCAAAAGGCATTCTTCCTCATCATAACTATGTGCTTAGTTTATTTAATACCGGGGAGCAGAGAAGAAGATTTTTAAAGAAATAATTTATTTCACTATATAATCAATAGAGCCCCACCTTGGCACTAGAACCCCTGACCCTGGGGCCATGAATTTCACAATTTTGGTAGAGGACTCAATGGTTATTACATTCATGCTCTCAGTTTGACTGCTCGATGTCCAGGAGTAAAGAAGATTTTTAAAAATTGCATTAATTTTGGTGGTTTTGGCCCCGCCCCTCAGGCCCCAGAGGGGCATGGACCGTGAAATTCACAATTTTTGTTTCCCTTCACCCATAGATGCTTTCTGCCAAATTTGGTTGAAGGTTGAAATTGGTTGAGTGGTTGCAGAGAAGAAGCTGAAAATGTTCAAATGTTAACACACGACGAACGACGACGGACGAAAACGGATAGCAATAGGTCACCTGAGTTTACTCAGGTGACCTAAAAAGTGAAATGCTAGATATTTGTATCATGCAAGGAGTTTCATTTGGTAGTTGATTCCATTTGACGAGTTAGTCTAGATGTTTTGTTTGTTTTATATGAAACGGAACGTAGAGCTTATAGTGAAGATATTTTTAAAAAAAATATCTGAATAGCTTTTCTTAGAGAAAAAAACTTGAATTTGATATTTTTCGAATTCATTTCTTGATCAAAATTTCAATCCAATGAATCTTAAATGCTTTTTGGAAAGATTTATTTAAATTAATCTTTGGATTTTGGAGGTCGAAAATGTAAAAATGGAAAAGTTTATGGATGAATGACGACGTCTTCGTATACACTCTCAAGGAGGAAAAAACTTTTAACTTTTTACTCATGCAACTTAATTCGACAAGTACGTGTAATCAAAATCTCTGAAAAATAAATTGTATGCTGTGTGTTTGTTGCATGGTTCCACGAATTCAAATCTTACTACAGAGTTATACAATGACAATAAAAAAAATTCCGGATTTTTCAAATAAAGTATATTTATATAATCAAACCTTAATTTTAAAAATATTTTGTTCAAGAAAAAAAATGTATTTCAGTAATTAGAAAAACATTTAATTAAACGATTAAATATCATTGGTATTTAGAGATGTCAAAAATGCACCCGCCTTGTCTTCAACTTGCAAAAGATCTTAATTTTTCAGATAAAGCCCATCGACCTTTTTAGACATTCTTTTAGTGAAATGATATTAAGAGTAGCAAATATATCCATGCATAGGTTTGTTACCAAAACAAACGGCACTTTTAGGTTGTGTGTAATTCTTTCTTACATCCCTAAAGTTCCAATGCTTTCGATGGTCAAGCCCCCTCCCCTAAGAGAATGCTTTAGCGTCACATTTTTTTCCCTGCAGTGTAAATAATATAAACAAAGTATACTTACATTTATATTTAAAGTGTCTCTCCGGGACTACCATGCGGGTAGGGTGCAATGTTCGTTTGTCACCTTGAGGAAAACTAATTGAACAAGCCTGATAACAGGAATCCATATATCTCAAATATTACGATAAAGGGGCAGGTGAATTGAAGTTTCGGTCTGCTTATTCTCTTCCGGACGACCATCGTTAGAAGAACTCAGGTCCTTTAAAATGATCAAAAATATCCATGCATCTGTCCTGTTTGTGCAAAATAAGATAACGTTCTTCACATGCTAGGTTGTTACACGTTGTAGAGTAACAATTTTGCTTTCCAAACAAAGTAAACTCTTATCGCAGCGGGACTGGATAAAGTTGATCCAAATCGTAACATCAAATTTAGTTGGTCAAAATCAATAGAGCTGTTGATATCAACTGTTGAGATGTCAAACAAGCTTAGAACATCCCTCTTCACAAATACGAAGATTCTCTATCAAATACTTATTATAGATCTGTCGGTATTTTTTTTCCCAACTGTGTCAAATTCTGAATGTACAACTTTCTGACGGTAACTTTTAATTTTTATGATGGAATTTTTAACTATGTTAAATACATTCATGTAAGGTAACGTATGCCAACTACATTGCTGGGACTACAAGACGACTCGAAGAAATTGCTAAAGCGCAAACTTTACACGTGGTCACTATTTTTATGGACCTTTCTAACGCTTTTGTCTGTCTAACACGTTATGATAAAACATGCTCATTGCCGCTTATGGTCTACCTAAACCTCCTGGGTTTTTTTTCCTGGTCCTGTTATTCAAAAGATGGTTCATCCTCACTATGTCAAAGTTTTGTGATTTTGGAACTCCACACAAACCCTTGACTTAAGTTACTGTAGAAAACTACTATTTTATTTGTTCCTGGTCTAGGTCTGGACCATCAGAAAAAAGCTTTTATAGTAGATTAGTCTTGTAAACAAATATGACTCGTCTTTAAAATTTCAAGTGTCAATATTGTTGGATTTGTAACTAGTTACTTAAAATGAAACTTAAGGAATTAATTTTGGACGAACATTCTCATTACAATCACAAAAGATATGCTCTGGAGTTGGGCCATTTGAAAACGATGTATTTGAAAAATATATTCTCATTGGTTAGCTTATAATTACCCATAACGCCATGTGTAACCACAAGCCTGTCAAGGGAAAAGTAGCACTTGGATTTGAAATTTTGCAACAGGCAGCAAAAATAGAATTGTATATCTTACAGTAGTCTATTTGTGTTCCAAATTATATTGAAATCAGACCAAAATTGGAGGAGGGTAGCGTTTAAAAAGAATTTCACAAAAAATTCTATATTAAGTAACCATGGCAACACCGTTCATCGAAATCGAAAACCGATACACAGAATAATGTATCTTAGTGTAGTCTACTTGAGTGCCAAATTTAATGAAATCGGACCAAAACTATAGGAGGAGTAGCGTTTTAAAGGAATTTCACAAGTTTCTATTTTTAGTAACAATGGCAACACCGATCATTGAAATCAAAAACCGATGCACATATTTATGAAACGTAATGTAGTCTACTTTTGTGCCAAGTTATATTGAAATCAGACTAAAACTGTAGGAGAAGTAGCGTTTTAAAGGAATTTTCACAGAAAATCTATTTTTAGTAACCATGACAACACCGTTCATTGAAATCGGAAACCGATGCACTAAAATATGTATCTTAGTTTAGTCTGTGTGGCAAGTCGTACTGAAATCAAACCAAAACTGTAGGAGGAGTAGCGTTGTAAAGAATTTCACCAACAAATATATTTTTAGTAACAATGGCAACACCGTTAATCGAAATTAAAAACCGATGCATTAATTTATCTATCTGGATGTATCCTTCCGGCAGACGTGGAGCTGGTCCTTCGGATGAGACCGTATAAACCGAGGTTCCGTGTCGCAGTAGGAGCTGGCACGAAAAAGATCCCTTCCTGCTCAATGGCCCTGAGAGCCGAGTATAGGACAAAATTTGCAGCTCTCCACCGGCAAGTTTTGGCGTCTCCATTTGAGTGAAAAATTCTCGAGAAGGACGTAAAGATTTTATAATAGCGAGCTCAATAGACTAACGTGTAAGAACAGAGGAAATTCGCAATGAAATCTGTACATACGTCAGGCAAATTTTTCTGTAAAACATTCCCAGAATTTCTTTACTACCCAATGTCCTTTGCGCGAATAAATATATAAATAAATAATAACGTAAACAGAGTTTCAGTTTGTAGAAATCTTTCAAAGAAACAAATCAAAGTACTCAGAAGTACAGAGAGCCGGGCTCATTTACAGAGTAGAATGAATTTCTTACATGAATCACGTTTATATTCTGATGAAAAAATTATTTTAAAACTATCAATATAAATGATAAGACACTGACAATGAGTTTTACAATCCTCATATCACGGTCCGATTTTGTCAGAATCAGAATTAATCTGATACCGCAGCTGAATGTAAACAAACAGGCCAGTCTGGTTCCCTCTCCTGCTTTACCTCGTATGTGTAGAGAACTACATGTACGATAGTACTGATTATCAAAATTCCTTACGCTAATGAACTATGTTCTTTGACTTAAGACTAAAGTTTTCAAAGTCATTACTACTAATGTTTATTTATATAGATAAAACTTCGACTCTGCAATGTTTTTCGACCAATATTGCACTAGGTCTGTAGTTTCAACCAGACGCTCGGCTGTCTCCGTAAGCTCCGACGAGCTCCGTGACGTCATGTGACGTCACAGCTACAGTAGTCGAGATGTCTCGTGTGGCTTGATGTTTGAAGTGGCTGATCAAATTTTTTAAGTGTTTTGGATAGTACAACTGTGCTCGCCCCAACGGTCACACCGTAAAACATATTAATGCTGTAAGCTATAACAGAAACTTAAACAATGTCTTTGACAAAAGCTACCATGAACAGTTTTAAACCTGTGGGAGGAAAAAAATTGACAGATACTTTTGAATACGGCTACATAATTATCTCACCAGCATGTCATTGTGCAATAAAGTCGTCAGCATTTTATTTGTCCTCTGAACTTGTGAAACGTTTTGAATGGCAGTCCTATCGATAAATATTAACATTAAACAAAGCTTTAGTGCAGCTATCAGCTATGGACTTTGCAAATCTACCTTCGTTACCCGCCATGTTCCAATCTCTCACCAGAGGGCGCGCTCCGCTTACACCTCTGTTGTCGTCTAAAAAGTAGCGCGGGTTGTCAAATTATTATTTGTCGACAAAAATTGTTAGACATTGATTGTTTTGTATTATTTCTCAATGACGTTACGTGTTTTAAGCTCTCTGGTAGTAAATATTTCCTGACTTTGTCTCTTTGGTTTCAAAATGTAAATGTGTGTAAAAATTCAGAACAAAATAGTGCCGTATATACTGTTTTTTTTTAACATATATATATTTTGAAAGAACAAAAGAAGTGCTACAGATTGATATTTCTAATTTCATTAAAAAAAAATACCAAGTTGGTGGAAATCTATAATTTATTTTCGTTTTACAAGATTCTTGTAATTTAGACGATAACAGAGGTGTTGGAGCGATGAGCGTAAAACGCCCTCTGGTGAGAGATTGGCCATGTTCATCTAAAACCGGAAGTACGAGTTCGTAAATTTGAAATATCGATCCCGACTCAAATTTGACATCGGAAAGGAAAAAAATCTGTTTTTCTCAATTTTATTTTTTTTCTGAAAATTCAAAAACTTGAGCGGCGGATTTGTAAACCTAAAAATAAAGAAATGCTGGCCTAATTTAAGTTTCTATTTCTATACAACGGAAACTATATTTAAAACAAAAACAAAAGGATTTTTCCGAGAGTTTCACATTACGACCTCAAAAATTACACAAGTACTAAAGCTAGACGCATTTTATAGTTCCTAGAACAAAAGGTAAAACACTGGACTGGCTGACATGATTTAAGTTAATTTTAAGTAACAACTACTTTTTAAAACTTTAAAAAGCAACAATCAGTTCAACTATAATCAAATACCTCTCTCAATTTTATTTCTGGTCTTCTGTCAATCGGTCGATATCATTTTTTTTAGTCTAATGACCTACAGATTGCTTAGTTGAAACTTACCTTTGAAGGAGAATTCATACAGTCGAAGATCTCCCTGGTTTGTTCTGGCTAACGTTAAAGATTTTCCTTTTAGCTGTTTAAAACAACACTTTGTAATATTGTTCGATAAGTGTAAAGTATTCAAGCTAAATCTGGTGCAATACAGTTCAAGTTCATCATCTGTATGAACGGACAAAGAATATTGACCTACAAATGAAATGCATTAAAGAATTCAGAAATATTATACGTTATAGCAATAAATGTATTATAAATGACTCAATTCAACTCAGAGACAATCTAGTTTTTCAATGATACGAAAAAAATTACATGTATTTAAAAAGCTTGGAATTCTTCTGTAGATTTTTTTTCTTGAAAGGGACAAATGTTGTTATTTCATATATATTGTGAATCCTAAGAAATATCAAAACATTTCCAGTTTTGAAACGGTTTCAAAATGGCAATATTTTATCTTAATATCTTTGTGTAAGAACGTCAGAACCGATAGTGGTTCTTTATATTTCTTCAATTTCTTTTCATTTAAACAGAATTCGTTTGAGTAAAGGGGGTATTTTTGACAATTTTTTTTACGTTTTTGACACAGTGTCATGAGCTCAAAAACATTTGAAATAAGTAGTCTAACCCCTCCTCTCAAAATTTAAAAGATAAAAGGTTAAATAACCTGTTCAGAATTTATATCAAAAAGGACGTCTATGGTTAATATTACATAGTTTATATCGCTGGAGTTCTTAACCAACGTTTCATGATAAACACTACACATATTAAACGGCAAAGACTTTACTCTAATATTTCGAAAAATATGCTGTATATCGGCACAATGGTTGGTAAAAAAGGTATTTTACAAAAGCCAAATTGATATGTAATGTGTGCAAAATGTCAAATCAGAATCTCGTACAGTTACCAATATACATATAATTATAAAGTAAGGCTAACTGATTGACAGACGGACGGACAAAAAGATGTCGAGAAAATTTATTATTAAGCCCACTATGAAGGTGATGCAAAAAAAGTAGCGACAAATTTGAATCTATATACTAAATCTTAGTAAATAGCAGATTATTAACGACTGTGTGGTGTTGTATTAGAGCGTTTGCCTAGACTAGAGTTGCAAAGTAAGAAGTTCGTCCTTACGTGGCGGGTTCAAAAATAACCCTCTGTGCTTTTAGTTAAGAAATCTAAATTTAAACCTAAAAATAAACAGACATTTAAACACCTGGTTTTATAAGGATGGTAAAACAGGAGAACGTCCTTTCTGAATCAAAAGTTATCTTCCAGTAGTTATTCACACCATCCTCAGTGACAGTAAATGTGTAGGGATCGCCGTCAACAGCCCAGGACGCATCCACAGAATTTACCCTTTTACCAGGCACAGAAGACTGTGAAACTGACTTATACTGCAGGGCTGCTAGTCCTGATACAAGATAAAGCAAATGGTATAAAATAGAAGCATAAAACATTTTATATGCTATTAAAAAATATCTTTATAATGATGAAATAATTTAAAGTTAAACAGTAATTATTTTCTACATTATAAATATTACACAAATTGAAATGAGTAACGAAGTCTTTAATTAAAAGAATTTTATTTGACATTGGCATTTACATTGTCTAGAGTTGGTAAAACACCACCTTTTACCCCACATTGAAAGATGCATAAATGAATAGGAAAAATGATCAAAACTTACTGCCTATGGTAAAATATATCAAATTAAAAACGACAAATGTTTCGCTTCCCGATTTCATGGCTCCTTCTACATAAAGTCTTTCAAAGAGATACAAATCACAAAAATAATTAAGTGAGCATCATTGAGTACAACTTCCTTACTTCCTTCCTTATTTGTTGATAATTTTTTTCATTTAATTTATACACTTTTTAATAACTTGATGAAGGTCCAAGCAAGCCAAGGAGATCAAATTCTGAAAAGAAATTTAATACTTTTTAAGTCTTTACATTAATGAAAATCCCTGATACAGTGATTGGATTGAAAATACGCAAACGGAAGTTCCAGTAATAAAACACAGACGTCCCTTGAGCCAATACAAATTCTTAGCAGAACGGGCACATAACTCTAAATATACCGGGGAAGCATACCCTATCGGTCGCTAACACCCACCGCGTCATTCTTGTCAGGGTCGGACAAACGGAAGCCTTTTCTTTGTTTAGATCATAATGTGAAGACATCTTTTAAAGCTAAGTCTAATATACGAGCGTTTGGAATCGGTTTTTTTTTTTTGATAGATTGCAAAATAATTGTTCATCAAGCGTTTCATTGAGTCATCAGCTGGACTGAAACAGTGATGATTTTGGAAGCAGCGCACTGCCGTTGATTTGGGGAATTCGTTGCATGTTTTTTGAATTTGTGTTAGCGTGACAGTGTGTTGTGTGAACTTGTGTTAGCCTGACAGTGTGTTGTGTGAAATGGTATTAGGATGACAGTGTGTTGTGTGAAATGGTATTAGGATGACAGTGTGTTATCGCAACAGCGTTTGGTGCGAACTTGTGTTAGTGAATAGTGAGACAGCCTGTTTTGTGAATTCGTGTTAGTGTGACAGTGTGTTGTGTGAACTCGTGTTAGCCTGACAGTGTGTTGTGTGAAATGGTATTAGAATGACAGTGTGTTGTGTGAAATGGTATTAGGATGACAGTGTGTTATCGCAACAGCATTTGGTGCGAACTTGTGTTAGTGAATAGTGAGACAGCCTGTTTTGTGACTTTGTGTTAGTGTGACAGTGTATTGTGTAAACTCGTGTTAGCGTGACAGTGTATTGTGTAAACTCGTGTTAGTGAGACTGCGTGTTGTGTAAACTCATGTTAGCGTGACAGTGTGTTGTGTGAATTCATCTAAGCGTGACAGTGTGTTGCGTGTACTTGTGTTAGCTAGACTGTGTGTTGTATGAACTCGTATTAGCGAGACTGCGTGTTGTGTAAAACTTGTGTTAGCAAGACAGCGTGTTGTGTGAACTTGTGTTAGTGAGACAGCGTGTTTGTGAATTTGTGTTAGCATGATAGTGTGTTGTGTGAACTCGTGTTAGCCTGATATTTTGTTGTGTGAAATTGTATTAGCGTGACAGTGTGTTGTGTGTTAGTGTGACAGCGTGTGGTGCGAACTTGTGTTAGTGCGAAAGTGTTTTTCAGTGTTGTGATGGCAAGCTGTGTGATAGCCTAATGGCGTCTTTTGTGTCGGTAAGATGGCACGCTTTTATGAAAGTGCTATTGAGCTTTAGCAAGTGGCCCTATCTGGACACGCCTTATTATAATTGATCAGTTCTCAGATATACAGTGAATTACCGGTATTATTGTCACCATGAAATCAGCATTTACAGTTGCAATTACCTAGTTAGTAATCATAAGATATTGGTTTGCCAGTTTTAAAATTATGGTGTTCCAATGATGTGAAGTTGCAGTGTGTTAGCATGTTAATTTCAACAGACTGCCACTCCAATGCAGCTTTAAACAACACGCTGCTGTGTTTACACAAAACAAAATATCATGCAAACACAACTCTAAACAATCTGTTGAGTGTTAGCTTCACTGCATGTTGGATTCAGTGTGCTGGCATATTATCACTGACATACATGCTAGCACATTGTCACCTCGTGCTAGTATGTTGTCATAAATACTCTAGCACATTATCCTAAACCCACTAGTGCATGATTACTTTGCACTTGTATGTTGTCTTATTAGGGGATAGCATAAATGACTGCCTTAATTGGTGTAAACTTCTTTTAATTGATGAAAGAGTACATTAAAATTTACAAATTATACACAGAAAATGTGACAATATCTTATCTCTCAATTTGATAATCTAATTTATAATCTCATGAATTGCACTTTTTATTAGTAAAAGAATTATAAATTAAAAAATTTCAATTTCTTTTGGATAGGTGTGACTCATCTGAATACTGAATTTTGATACCAAGCATGACCATGATTTGCCAGAAGATCATCTGTTTGGATGTGACATGGAATAAACAGCATAGTGAAAATAAGTCAAGTTTTGGTTTGTGAAGACAATTTTTAAACACACTGTGTATCATTTTTAAATTTTGATTTGACAACATAAATCCACAAATATGAACATATCAACTGCTCTCAGTTTTTCAAGTGAAATAGTTTTTGTAACAGAAATACATGTACCAGTAATTACATTGGAATGAATATTATTTTTCAATATAATAATATTTTGTTTGTGTAGCATGTTGACCTCTTTATTAAGGTCTTCCCTTTCAAAGTTTAGACTTACTTATTCTAATGATTAAGATATATCCTCTGTCTTCAGCAGGAATATAAGATCTTGTAATACATGTATGTGTATTTTTTACAGTATAATGTAAAAAAAATTGTTATTATGGCACATACAACTAATTAAAGGCATAAACATGTGTATGATTCCAAGGAATTTGAGTACATAGGGCATGTACATGTAGTTTTCTAAACAAGATTGAAGAGATGTCCAGTCGCATTTCAATGTCAACTCCAAAACTGTGCCTGTTGCATACTTATTAGCCCATCTGAGCTAAAGGAACCAGTAAATTTTTTAAAAACATAATTTTATCCATTATCATCATTGTCTAAAATTTCACAATATCATTTTCCAGTACCAAAGTGAAACTTGGCACAGAGCATCCTTAGTGTAGGGGATTCAAATTGTTCTTATGCAGGGCAATACCTTCAAAGAGATTTGTTTCTTTAATGCTGTAAATGTATTATATTTAGCTTGTACAATATTTGGTGGAAATTGACTTTTGAATAAGTTAGCGTAGATATTCTTATTTATGTTTATGTACAAGACTTTTAGCTTTGTACTTGATTTAGTGATTGCTGCATTCCGCCAAAGCCGCTAAAAAAGAATACACAGCCATATGTAATATGTTCATAATATACCTTTCAGAGAATTTTACACTCCTATTGAGGTACCACCAGTTGCTAGTGGAAAGCTTCAAATTCGAAACATACACAACACATTTCTGTGCGTTTATTATAAAAGTATTGTTCTACTTACTGATTGCAACTAATGAAGATTGTTCATCATTATTGTAAATACATTTGGATTTTTTGAATTATTATATAATTTGTTTATTTTATTTACCTAGTTATATTTTTAGCTCACCTGAGCCGAAGGCTCAAGTGAGCTTTTCTGATCAAAATTTGTCCGTTGTCTGTCGTCGTTGTAGTCGTTGTCGTTGTCGTTGTTGTCGTCGTCGTAAACTTTTCACATTTTCATCTTCTTCTCAAGAACCCCTGGGCCAATTTCATCCAAACTTGGCACAAAGTATCCTTGGGTGAAGGGGATTCAAGTTTGTTCAAATGAAGGGCTACGCCCTTTTCCAAGGGGAGATAATCATGAATTTGTTAAAAATTAATGGCATTTTAAAAAAATCTTCTCCAGAACCGCTGGGCCAGGAAAGATGAAACTCATGTGGAATCATTCTCAGGTAGTGTAGATTCAAGTTTGTTCAAATCATGACCCCCGGGGCAAGGGTGGGGCCAAAATGGCCGACCCAAGTTTTACATAGGGATATATAGGGAAACATTTTAAAATCTTCTTCTCCAGAACCACTGGGCCAGGAAAGATGAAACTCATGTGGAATCATCCTCAGGTAGTGTAGATTCAAGTTTGTTCAAATCATGACCCCCGGGGCAAGGGTGGGGCCAAAATGGCCGACCCAAGTTTTACATAGGAATATATAGGAAAAATCTTTAAAAATCTTCTTCTCCAGAACCACCGGGCAAGGAAAGATGAAACTCATGTTGAATCATCCTCAGGTAGTGCAAATTGAAGTTTATGACCCCCGGGGCAAGGGTGGGGCCAAAATGGCCGACACAAGTTTTACATAGGAATATATAGGAAAAAAATTTAAAAATCTTCTTCTACAGAACCACTGGACCAGGAAAGATGAAACTCATGTGGAATCATCCTCAGGTAGTGCAGATTCAAGTTTGTTCAAATCATGACCCCCAGGGCAAGGGTGGGGCCAAAATGGCCGACCCAAGTTTTACACAGGAATATATAGGAAAAATCTTTAAAAATTTTCTTCTCCAGAACCACTGGGTCAGGAAAGATGAAACTCATGTGGAATCATCCTCAGGTAGCTAGCAGATTCAAGTTTGTTCAAATCATGACCCCCGGGGCATGGGTGGGGCCAAAATGGCCGACCCAAGTTTTACATAGGAATATATAGGAAAAATCTTTAAAAATCTTCTTCTCAAGAACCACTGGGCCAGGAAAGATGAAACTCATGTGGAATCATCCTCAGGTAGTGCAGATTCAAATTTGTTAAAATCATGACCCCCTGGGCTAGGGTGGGGCCAAAATGGCCGACCCATTTTTCACATAGTGATATATAGGAAAAAAATTTAAAAATTTTCTTCTCCAGAACCAATGGGCCAGGAAAGATGAAACTCATGTGGAATCATCCTCAGGTAGTGCAGATTCAAGTTTGTTCAAATCATGACCCCCGGGGCTAGGATGGGGCCAAAATGGCCGACCCATGTTTTACATAGGGATATATAGGGAAACCTTTTAAAATCTTCTTTTCAAGTACTTCAAAGCTATAATTAGTGATATTTATATGGAATCATCCTCAGGTAGTGTAGATTCTAGTTTGTTCAAATGATGAATGCCTGGAGGGGGGGGGGGAGTAAATTCTAGCCCGATGTGCTCAGGTGAGCGCTGTGGCCCCTGGGCCTCTTGTATATTAAATGATTTTAAAGCCATTTTTAAGATGGTAATGTAGCAAAACACTTATGTTTCTGTAGTATGACACGTTTCACAAACATAATTGCAACAAACATGATATATCCGATATCAAAAGTCATAATATTGGAAGTTAAA